TAAATGATGTGTCTGAGCCACGTAGACAAATCATCGACCCCTGAAGAACCAGCCAGGTATAAGTGTGTTACAGGCCGAGTAAATGATTTTTTTTTTCTCCTCCCCCTCACGAAGGATGGGAAGAAATGCAAGGACTAACGTTCACGTTTTTCAAATGACTGCCCAGCTGAACGCCTTGCAAACAGAAGCTATACAGGAGGCGGGAAGAAAAAAAGCTATATTAAAGCATATCTTTTCCTACTAAATAAAAATCTGTAGTGTCTAGGTGTCTTCAGTTGTTTGAATATTTTGGAGATCTGACCAAAGTATTGTCCAACAACTGCCCTGTGTGTTTGACCATGATACAGGTCAGGTTTGGTTGGGGGTTTTACTGCTTCCTGAGCGCTGGTAACACTGGCCAGCTTTGAGGAATTACCATGTCCCCTGAAGAGAATTAAATTGAGAAAACAGGATAGCTTGGTTCATGCGTTTGTGAGGGTTAAGCACCTTGGTTTGAAATGAATACGTGGCTTATAAATAGATTCCTCTTTCACAAAATGCAAAACAGTCTCTGTTTCGCAGGACAACAGGAACCAAAAACTGGTCCCAGAATGAATGAGCGCTAGAACTGCGCGGCTGATATGCTGTGCAGGACCACCTCTGGGAGCTACTGAGGTAGACTTACGTTTTTGGGTGAAAGGATGCTAAGGTTTGAATTGCAGTGTATCTCAAGAACTTACAAAGAGAAATATTGCATTTGCATAAAAAGTCTTTTTGCAGACTCAGTATGTCTGGCATTTAGTAGCATCCCAATAAGTGATCTGCTGCTCTGTCTTTGCAGTATAATGCTTTCCTATAGCATGTTATATAGCATTCAAAATAAGCATTATCATGCTATAAATAAGACTGGGCAACTCTTGAAGCAAAGTGATTGGATCCCTGGAGCCTACACTCTGTAATTTATCACAGACCTGTTTTGGTGCACAGATAGAAGTAGTGTAATTTATCGCAGACCTGTTTCGGTGCACAGATAGAAGAAGTGGATGAGAACAAGATGGTGACAGCAGTGTGACAGTGCAGTGACTCAATTCGAAATGTCACGGTGTGTGTTAGCGCTGGAGTTTGCTGGGGGGGCTGCTAACATTGTTGTTGCAGCGATCCTGAACTGCTGATGGCTTTGCTGGCCAAATACTTCCCCAGATCACTCTGCTCTGCAGCCTGTGCTGAGCTCAGTGCTGCTGCAGCTGTATTGTTATCAGTACCAAAGTTAGCTGCTTTGAAGCTAGTTGAGATATGCTGAGCTGCAAGCACACCTTTGATCGTCATGTAGATGTAGTCATAATGAATCTTATTTTCTGATCATAGATATGCTAATAGTAGGGGGTTTTTTAGGAAGGCATTGTTTGGATCAGAGGATGCTGGAGACTTGGCAGAGCGTGGAAAGCATTTTGTGCTCCTGCTGGGACACAATCCAGCAAAGCACAAAAATATGTGTTCTGAGTTTAAGTAAATGAGTAGTTCTGCAGCTTTCCATGAGACCATTTGAATATTTAACTGAAATAGGGCACAGTAGTTAATATGTTGTAGGACCGAGCAAGTAACAACATACACAAATATCAGTTATGTTTATCAATGGGTTATGCAAAGCAGGTATTAGATAATGGTAAAATATCATCATCTTTGATTGTTTGGGCATGACTACCGTAGCTGATAGCAACAGGATCATGGAGGTCTTAAAGAAAAACCTGGTAGAGGGCTTTCTATGGAGAACTTCTGAAATGAGCCCACCAGTCCCTTGCTTCCTCCCATGCTGTCTCTCAGCTGCTCCTCTGTTATGATATTCCTCATTTGTCAGATCTTAATTAGTAACTGCAGCATATGCAGAGAGGATGGCAGTGAGAGCTGCAGCGACCTTTAGTCTTCTGTCTTCCCCTACATGTGTTTGTTGGGAGATCTGCAGTTTAAATCAGCGTGGTGGAATGAAGTTAACCTGTATGTATTATGGCTGTAATTTGTAGTCCTTATTTGCTATTCAGGTTTTGTTTCAGGTGTAATCATTTACGTATTTCATTCTGAAACATGCATGCTCTGAGGTTTGAATTCAGATGAATCAACTTCTAAGTTACACAAGTACCAAAAAAATTTTTAAAAAATCAGAACACTTTTGAAGGGGAAAAAACTAATTCTGAATCTTTACCTTTTGGTAACGCAGAAATTATTAGACTGCTAGTCCTCCCAGATAAAGGGAATTGTTTTCTGGAAAAAGCGAAAAAGAGATTATCAGTTTAGATTAAATAAGAACATTTTTTGAGTACTTGAGGGTGGGGTCTTTGTTTTGTGGTGTGGTCATTTTTGGTTTTTTGGGGGTTTTTTAAGTGTGTGTGCTCTGTAACATTAGCAGTAGATAGCTATAGCTTTCTCTTGATGATGATCTATACACTGTTGCAAAAGAAACTGCTGTCAGGATAAAATTCTGTTGCACAGAGCACTGTGCACAAATAAGAAGGTTCCAGTGTATGATTCCACTTAATCATGGGAAAGCAACTTGCACATATCTGCTGCTGTGCAGGGAAAAAAAACCCACATGAGAGTGGGAAGGCATTCTCTCATTTGGAAAACAGCACTGGTGTTGTACTTCTGATTGCAAAAGTTGACTGGCAAAAGGACAACTGCAG